GAGTCCTGGTGACACATGAAGGCAGCCTGGGTGAGCTGTGTGCTGTCTCTCTCTGCCCCTCTGTTTACGGCTGACCAGCTCTCACACCTGCACACGCGCCGTCTGCTCTCAATCACTCTCGGGTGGGCCGTGTCCATCCTGGTCCCCGGGGCTGGAGGAGGAGTATCCCCGTGCTCAACCCAAGTCAGATGACACGGGCTCCCCCGGGTGTCCCATGGGGCCTGCGGGGCTCCAAGGTCTGAGTTAAACGACTGAACGGGAGCCCAGCGGGCAGGCAGGAGGAGCCATGGAGGACGCGCTCCCTGAGACCCTGGGAGACAGGCTCACGGGGAAGGAGCTCAGGCATCTGGACTCAGGTGAGCCCCGTCAGTCAACACAAGGAAACCTCAGTGAATCAGTCCTATTTATTGAAATACAGTCTAAAGAACACAAGGTGAGGAGATCCAGTGTTAGTCAGCTGTCGTGTCTGGCTCTTAGTGACCTCATGGGCTGCCAGACTCCTTTGTCCGTGGAATATTTCTAGGCAAAAATACTGGAGTGGATTGCCATTTCCTTCTCCAGGGGATCTTCCCAACCCAGGAATCGAACACACATCTCCTGTATTGGCAGGCGGATTCTTCACCACTGAGTCACCTGGGAAGCCCATGGAAAAGAATGGAGTTTCCTTAAAAAACCTAATATAGAGTTATTGTATGAGTCAGCACTTCTGGAAAAGACAAAAGCTCTAATTCAAAAAGTAACATGCACTCCAGTGTTCAGAGCAGCACTAACAGCATGGAAGCAACCTAAGTGTCCATCAATAGATGAAAAAAGATGCGAAATAACTGGCATAGTACCCAGCCATAAAAGAATAAAATAATGCAGTTTTTAGCTGCTTGGATTGACATAGAGATTATTGTAAATGAAGTAAGTCAGTCAGAGAAAGACAAATATTTTATGATCTCAATTGTATGTGGAATCTAAAAAGCAGTACAAATGAACTTATTTACAAAACAGGAACAGACTCACAGACAAAGAAAATAAACTTATGGTACAAAATAGGAAAGGGGAGGAAGGGTAAATGGGAATATGTGATGAATAGATGCACATTACCATACATAAAATAGATAATCAGGATTTACTGTACAGCACACAAAACTACATGTATAATCAATACATTTGGCTGCACACCAGAAACCCACACAATACCGTAAGTCACCTACACTTCAATAAAAACAAACAAACAAAAGAAGTCACTGCCTAGTTAATAACAACCTGCTGGAATCGACGGTGAGTTGACCTTTGACTTTCTCTCATTTTCAACCCTTCGGTATTCCTGGCCTTCCACAGCTCGTTCCACCTGCCTTTCCCTTTGTTCTACCCCCAGTGTGTTCTTCAGTCCAAATGAAGTGGTTTCTCTCCTCCCCTCACTCTTCAGCCCCCTCCGCCCTCAGTCCAGGCTCCAGGCTCTTGCTTTGTCCTCATCTGCCACCTGCATCCATCCCTCCCTTGCTGTGCTCAGCTCCAGAAATGCCAAATTCCCAACACCCAGGACCATCAATGTTGTCTCCCCTCCTTTTCTCCTCTAACAAGCTGCCTCTGAGACACCCAGCAAATGTCCCTGGTCCCTGCACTCCTTTGGGGGTGGGGGAACTGAGATTCTCCTCCTGCAGATTCTCATGGATCTCAGTGAGTAACTCCAGTATGCTTTCCAACACCTGGGCCCGCTGCCTCACCTTTTCAGCTGACTCTGCCTTGGCTCCATCGTGTAAATGTATTGACTCTCTCACCAGGAAGCCCACATCTATCACAATGCCGATACCTGACAGGACTATGCCAGTGATACGGGCTCCTTTTGCCATTGCTGAAGCCATGCTGCCAAAAGTTTTCTGCACCTGAACGCTGCCATGAATGATGTTTTTCCCTTTGGTTAGGAAGAACTTGACTTTGGCTGCTAAGGCCGGGCTGGCTTTGATCACCTTGATGAATTGGACTTGCTTCTCAGTGTATTCTAGGGCACTGATGAGTGACTTCGTTGCAGAAATAACTTGAGGTTTCCTTTTATGGAGTACATCCTTGATTACCTTCCATCTCTCCCTGTCATGGGACAGCAGTTGAGTGGTTTTGATTTCCACTGATGACGTGTTTACTTGTTCCACGCTGCTGGTGGACACATTGGTCACAGCAGCCGCTATGACCACCCCAAACCCAGTGGCCAAGAGAGGCAGAGTGGCCCCCATTGTCAGAGGTGCCAGAGACAGGTGAAGGATGCTGAGGATGCCAGACACAGTGCCAGTGGAGTGGGCCACCACCTTGGAAATTGTGCAGTCCTTGTGTACCTTGTTAACTTTGTCCGCAAAAGCATGGATATTTTTCTGTGTCTTCCTCCAGGTCCTGTTTCATCACAGGAAACTCCTCCAAAACCTTCCTTCTGTCCAGCTGGTCTTCTTTGAGTGTCTCTGGGTCCTTTCCACTCAAGTTTGTATTCAGCCTGTTCAGATATTCATGTAGTGCCTTTGCCTCCTCCCTATAATAATGAATGCCAAGGAACTAAGACAATTTGTTTGTCTGTAAAAATAGGCTGGACAGGATCTATTCTTCATAAATTACAGAAATTGTTTAACTAAATGCTTATAAGCGTTTCTTTTTACATTAAGCACATATTTGGACATTGCAGATGCTCCATATACTTATTCAATGGTGGAAAAAATAAGCAAAGGTCATATTAGGATACAATGAAGGTAGGTATTTGGTAAAGACACTCGGGGCAGGTCGAAAACCATCACTTGCCAGGAGCTGGTAGTGTGGGAACTCCACAGAGAAACAAAGAAAAGTTTGATTGGAGCAGAAAACCCTTCATTCATGGACCTTAGTGTGTAGCAAAGAGTCAATCTACTCTTAGCCCTTGATTCTGGGAAGTGGTCTCTAAGCCTCTAGAATATTCTGGCTGATAGGAGTGTCCTCATCTGCTCGGGCCTTTGGCCACTGGACAAACAGAAAAGGTGACATTCGCGATGGGGGCCTCTGGGTCATGTGGTATCAATTCTGACCTCTGGAGGAGCTGGACTCTAGGGCATTAGTCTGACCGCCGGGAGGAGCTAGAGACCACAAGTTAGGATAATTTGTTTTTAAGTGCATGAGATTCCCTGGAAGACAGTTCTCTGTGTGTCCTGCCCGCACACTGATTCCAAGGCTGGAAAGCATCCTGGGGACAACGGAAGCTTTGTGTGTGAAACCCGCACAGACTTTGCCCTGTGGCTGAAACTGCATCCTTTCCTGTAGTAAACTATAATTGGGGTGACGATATCTTCAGTGAGCTATGAGAATCCTTCAGGGAATTCTCAAATATGAGGGTGATTATGGGAACCCCCAAACTTGCTATTGGTATTAAATGTAAGGACAGTCCTTGGGACTGTGCCCTCAGACTTAACAGGTTAGCTAACTCTGCATACTTAGGGGAAAAAAAAAAAACACCAAAAGTCAGAGGTAGAAGGTATCTTCAAGAACATTTTGCCTGGCATCTGCTGTCTTCCAAGGCTTGTGCCCTTGATCTTTCTATTGAAAAGTCACTGGGTCCATCCACTTCCCCAGCTGACAGGGAAGCAGATGTGCTGTGAACTCTGGTTCCCTTGGACTCTCCAGCTCACCTCACTGACTCCTGACCCATCACCCAGCATCCTTGACCCCTTGGATGTTACATGTTAGCTGGTAAATGGGCCTGCACCCCAAGGCCATGTGCAACTTTATACACCCTCTCCAAGACTGAAGAGACTTGAGGAAACATCCATCAGATTTGTTAATCCTGAAGAGACCGGCACTTGCACAGCTGGTGGAGCAAGTGTGTCCTCTTTGGTGGGGATGCGTGAGGCTCCTCAGAATCCCTCAAACGACACACAATCGCAGCCACTAACTGTGGGCCTGGAGGGCTCACTGAGCCACACTGCTTTCCCACTGTCAGGGCCGCTCCACATAGACTAGAAGATGGTCCCAGATGGAGTGAGAACCCAGGTCCCAGGCAGGGTGTGGAGGACATGATCACCCAGGGCCCTCTAGCCTAGCATGAGGGGATCCCATCAGGGAAGAAAGAAATATCCTCCCTCCCACTCCTGGAACCTCTGTTAGCATCACAGCCCCTTCAGTCCTGTGTCCTCGGGGCCCACTCTCCTCACTCTAGTCCTGGTCCTGCTGCCCAAGCCTGCCTACTCGTCCTGTAACCTGAACCCTCTGCTCTACCCTGACTCCTGGGTCTGACCCTGCTCCAGGCCTCCCTGGGCCTTTGGACGAGATGATTGCATTTGCTTCCCCACCTCTAACCTGCATTTCACTCTGAGGCCATCACCATAGTCCAACAGATTGAATTGCTATTCCCACTGGACACAGGACAGATCTGAGACTCCAAGACATAAGCCCAGAAACCCAGAGCTGGGCAGGACTAGAGCCAGGACCCCACCAGCTCCACTCAGTTCCTCTCCAGCCTCTCTACTTTATGGGCCAGTTGGATCTTACAGGGTTGGTACAGTTCCTAAGATGGGGAAGGAAAGGGCTCTAGTCAGAATCCCAAGGAACACAAAAGGATGTTGGCAGGATTGACTGACTTGTTCAAACATGAGCCCTGCTTTGTCCTCATCTCTAGGAAAAAGATCCTTGGCCTCTATCTCGTCCCAAGAAGTTTTCTCAAAGTTAATATTAATTGAGCACCTACTCTGTATCAGCCATCATTGCAAAGCACTTTGCATGCATGATCTCAGTGTCTTCACAATAAAACTGAACAGATGAAGAAACTAAGGCAGAGAGTAGTTCAGTAACATGTCCAAGGTCACATAACCTGACCCTGTAGCAGGCTCATCTCTTCTCAACCCGAGGCCGTTCACTGCCAGCAAATGACATGAAGGAAACTCTGCTATTGGGATCTTGAGAAGGAACATCCTTGACTCCAGTTATAGGATGCTGCCTGGAGGAGGTGTGCCTGCCAGGAGGAAACTAGCCAGGGGCAGAGGAATCTGAGTGACATTTGTGGTTACCTGGGTAAATTGTCCTTAGCCACAAATCTCTCCCAGTTTTGGAGTAGGAACTTCAGTTTCTTTTGTGTGATGTGGGAAATCTCAATGACTACTCGAAAAGCAGTTTCGCTCTCTAGATGGAAAAAGAAAAGAATAAAATTAGAAGAAACTGTGGTGGAATGTAAATGGCATTGAGTAGTTTGCTCCTGGGAAGAAAAGTTATGACCAACCTAGACAGCATATTAAAAAGCAGAGACATTACTTTGCCAACAAAGGTCTTTCTAGTCAAAGCTATGGTTTTTCCAGTAGTCATGTATGGATGTGAGAGTTGAACTATAAAGAAAGCTGAGCGCCGAAGAATTGATGCTTTTGAACTGTGGTGTTGGAGAAGACTCTTGAGAGTCCTTTGGACTGCAAGGAGATCCAACCAGTCCATCCTAAAGGAAATCAGTCCTGAATATTCATTGGAAGGTATGATGCTGAAGCTGAAGCTCCAATCCTTTGGCCACCTGATGTGAAGAACTGACTCATTTGAAAAGACCCTAATGCTGGGAAAGATTGAAGGTGGGAGGAGAAGGGGAAAACAGAGGATGAGATGTTTGGATGGCATCACCAACTCAATGGACGTGAGTTTGAGTAAACTCTGTGAGTTGGTGATGGACATAGAGGCCTGGCCTGCTGCAGTCCATGGGTTGCAAAGAGTTGGACACAACTGAGCGACTGAACTGAACTGAACTGAAAATGTGTTGAAGGTCCATCTTCCTGACCAAAGGTCCCTGGTGTTATGGGTGGGGATATATGTGTCCCCTCTGCCCCAATTCTTATGCTGAAGCTCTGACCACCCCTCCCTGAGGACTGAGGTGGCACAGTCCAGACCTGAGTTCAGTTCTGGGTCCCCTGACCCTTGCGAAGTGGCTGAGGTGGAGGGGTGGCAGGGCGAGAACTGGAGGAAACAGCCTCTTGGTGACACCCCAGGGTCTGGGAGCAGGAGGAGGCTTGGAGCAAGGGAGAGGGCAGGAGAAGCTCCAGGGATGTTGGGGGACCTCCTCTCCCTCTCCCGCCTGACCTTGGGGATCCCCATCAGCTGTCCCCTCACCGTGGGCTGTCTTGGCCTCACCTCTGAGTCCCTTGCTGGATGGCAGTCGGGGAGGAAGTAGGCGCCATGCTGTGGTGCCCTGAGGATGGGGTTGGGATTGAGACTGTACGGATAGGACCCTGAATGTGGGGGACTCCCCTGGCCCCTCTGGAGGGCTCCAGAATGCTCAGCCACCCCTTCTTGGTTTTTGATTCCTTTGTGGGTTGTCTCAGCCTGGAGGCACCACCCTCAATTCTGGATCACAAGTGGAAACCAGCCAGACAAGAGATAGCTGACTACCTGAGCAGTACAAGAGGTCTATTGAGCTCATGGTGGCAGCAGCAGCGTCTCAGAGATGTTGCTTCGGCTCACCCATCCAAGTCAGGCTGGAAGGAGGTATGGCTTCACCCATGGGGGAGAGAAAACGGACTGTGGGCTAGATCACGCATGAGCAGGGGCTGCAGGGAGCAGCGAGGGGGGAGGTCTCTGGTGGGTTCCCCTGGGACGGCCACCAGTGCCACCGGGGACTAACCCTCTGTGTTTCTGTCCCCTGGGCTCTGCCGGCTGTTAGTTAAGAAAAGTCACTCACCTCCAAAGCTCCTTCCAAGCTGAGTCAGAGTCCTGCTCTCCTGTTGGGGCCCAGGGAGAAGGTAATCAGACAGGAGACAGCCATCTGTGGAGTTATAGGAGCAATAAAACCAGAGACAGAGAACACAGAAAGGAACATAGAAAGGAATACCCTGGAAATTATGGGAGGTGGGAACAGCTGTACCACTAATTGGTCATAACTAATATTGATTCAGTGTCTATGATGTGCAGGCTCCCGAAACTCGCCTAAACATAGGTCAGCCCAAGATTTCATGCTGGTGCCAGAGTCTGGACTTGAATCCAAGTCTTTCTGATTCAAATAGCATGTTAATTATAACTATGCTGTACTCTCAACAATATACAGAAATGCTTACCTGGGGATATATGTCAATTGGTAAGTGACTCTTTTTATTCCAAAATGATGTCTTGGTCCCTGTGCCTGAGTCTCTGCCTCGATAAAGTTCCTGGAGCTGCAGCTCCCACAGCCCACATCCTCCTTGCTTCTGCAGGAGCCTTTATCCCACAAGCCCCATCCCTGCAGCCCTGCCCTGGGCCGCTGAGGACCTGGATGTTGCCAGTCCTCTCTGCTGTCCTCCCCTGACTGTTGTACTTTAGGTTCTTTCTAATTATTTGTGTCAATAATAGTGTAAAGAACACTCTTCTTGTATGAAACTTTGCCTATACTTGCGACTGTGTCCTTAAGCTGGTTCTGGAAGTTGAATGATTTGGTCAGGGCTCTAAACATTTTAAATGTTTTCACACCTACTCGCTCTCTTGTGCCAGAACATTGCACCAATTTATTGGTGCAATGCACCAGTTATATTCATATATGAGGGTGTCAATTCTTTCAATCTTGCCAGTCCTCAGAAGTCTCTACTTTAAAAGAGATCTTTATAAAGAGAGAATTTTTTAATTCTGTTTGGGATTACATTGGCTTGGTAGGTGATGAAAGAAAGCAAACATTGATTACATTCAGTAGCATTTTAAGACGACAAAAGTGCATTTATCAACTACTCCTCCTGAGACCTGACTGAAATGATAGTAACCATGCTTACAGGTATAATAATGGCTACCGATAGGAGGGGTCTTTGTGCTTGTGGTCTTTGCTCTGTACTGATAGTTGATCTAAGACTTTAGCAAATATAATTTGGATTATTCCAGTAACCCTTGAGATACCCCCTTACTCCCCTCCTTTTTTCATAGATGTTATGTGACTTGCCCAAGGTCAGAAATCTTGTCCATGGCACACTAGGTTTCAACCCACTTACTGGGCTCAAAGCCCACACCTCGCCTCTCGGTACTCTGCTGCTAACATAAAGCCAGGAATGTGGGCAACAGGAGCCCAGAGTCTTCAGCAGTAGTTTGAAGACTGACTGGATGAAGACGTGACTGCTGAATAAAAAGGAATGGACGGAAGAGACGGGGAGAAGGTGTACAGGCAAGAGGGATGCTTGCTTAGAGCAACATGAGAGTGACACAGAAGGAGAGAGCAGGGGACAGCCTCAGCAATCTGCATCCTATCACATATTCACGTAAATCCACACCAGAGGGAGGGAAACCAGGATTAGAGACCCCAGAAAAAACATCTCTGTATTCTGGAATTTGGGGGTCCTCAGGCAAGCACTCTAGAGCGAAGCTTACCAGTCAACTTTACTCCCTCTTAAATATGAACAGGTCATCCAGGGTCAGATACATGGAAACGATGACAGTGTGGTAAAGGGTGACTAAGATAAACAGATGAGAAATGACACCAGAAGAGATGGATGGATGATTCTGAAGCCAGAAAATAATTTTAAAAACTTGAACCCAGGTAGTTAAGTAGATTAGAAAGGATTTTTATTCATAAAGTGAGAAGATGCACTGAGAATAAGGAAAAAATGAAACAGACAAAAAAATCTTGGGACTTAATAAGTGTTTACAAAATAAGTCTAAAGAAAGATTGGAAAAGAAGGTCAAAAAAGCTTCCAGAAATTTTTTTTTTAAATAACAAAAGAAATGGAGCTAAATGGAGAACAGAAAAGTTGCTATTCAGAATCGTTCCTTAGAAAGGTACTTGAGAGTGAGGTGCAGAGGGAAAGAAAATGTGTGTGTGTGTGTGTGTGTGTGTGTGTGTGTGTGTGTGTGTGATGATGCGAAGGATAACCAAGAGAAATAAAGATTCCTGAATATGATCCAGGAATCAGGAACATCAACCCAGAGAGAAGGGAATCCAAGGATCACAGCTGGGCACACAGCAGATCTAGAGAGAAACCAGTTCAGAATGGGGTGAAAAGTCCAGAGCCTGTGGGGACAGGGGACTCGGTATCATATGAGGCACAGGTGCAAAGAAATGGAGGAAATTTGAAGATAGTGCAAGGGGTGAAAACAAAGGCAATTCAAAACATCAGGAAAAACTAAAGCTATGCCAAAATGTATGTGCAATACATAGTATTAATACAAGTTACTCAAGAGAAAATATTTAAAACATCACAAAAATGGAAATTGTCTTCTTTGACTTTTAACTTTTAGAACAAAGCATTTAAATATGAGAACTAAATTTATTTGCTGTCAATCAATATAAATATTAAATCACACTTCTAAAAGTTGGGAGCTGAAGCACTGAAGGGAGAAAGAGAAATAGTCTCATTTTACAAAGTGGGGAATCAAGAAACACCAGTTGAACCTGAGAGCCTAAGAAAGAATGGCACAAATAAAGTGCATATAACCACAAAGTTTTCTAATAGAAGATATAAGATGAGTGATATAATGATATTAGAAGAAGATGGGGAAGGATATAAGAAAAGATAAAAAAATAACTGAAATCATTTCTTCCCTTGTAAGAAGTAATTTAATAGTATCCAACTTTTTAAATTAGGAAAAGAAAAATATGATGCTTGATATTTATTAGCTATTGTGGTTGACGCTGCCGTACTTTGCACCAGGCAGCATTCTAGGTGCTTCTCAAGCATTCACTTATTTTTAGTTCTCTCAATGACCCTGTAAGCAAGGAAATTATCTAAGGATATTGCTGAATTACCTAAAGAAAAAGCAAACAACTAAAAGTGCTTTTTACTGTGAAGGGGTTTCCAGAACCCTCTGTATAAACTGATTTGTTTTAAAAATATGCATTTAGTATTTTGGATTTTTTTAATTTTATAAAAGCAGAAGTCACTTCATAGTAGTTAGTAACCCACAAGAATGGTTTGATTTCTGGCACCACCACATAAAACTGGTGGAAGCAATTGGATTAAGAGACAATAAGAAGTAAGCCTGACACCTGATGTGACAATTATCACTGTAGGAGACATGTTTGTGATGATGAAGCCAAGTTCTCTAGGAAAAGGAGGGATGATAATACACGTAACCCAGGATAACCACAGTGAACTGTGGCCTTAAACAGATACATTATCTAGCAGCACCTTGCCCCAAACATGTGCACCCATGGGCTTCTGCCCACGCAAAGGAAGCAAGACTCCTTGAAGGGGAGGTCAGTTCCACAGGTTGGCATCTATATCCACAGGTTGGCATCTACACACCCCCAAAGGCAAAGATTCTCTTGGAAATGTTCAGAGCAGCATTTAGAAGGGGCACCCACATAAAATGAGCTTCGAATATGCTTGCAATGTGAGAGACCTGGGTTCAAGCCCTGGGAAGATCCCCTGGAGAAGGAATGGCTCCCCACTCCAGTATTCTGGTCTAGAGAATTCCATGGACAGAGGAGCCGGGCTCCTCTGACAGTCCATGGGATCACAAAGAGTCGGACCCCACCTAGCAACTTTAACAGAATCACATACAATAATGCTGCTGACGATGGAAAGTGAATACTATGATCATGGTTCATTGGGCCAAGTTGAGTCTGAGAAAGGCCATGAGTTCATAATAATTCAATGAGAAGAGTTTATATCAAGTGTGGCTAAGAAGGGAGACATGAAGGTTACAAAAGGTAGCTGTGCTGCAAAGAGGAGTAAGTGTAGTGGGAAATAGTTCATTGTTAATTGAATTTAATAATAAGAGGAGTCTTAAAATCTATGGGTATATTCCCTTCTGTCTATTTATGTGACCATTAAAAAACACTGAGAAGGAAAGAATACCCCCGACATCCCGAGGCTGGCCTGGTATCACAACAGGGCGATGCTCTTCTCCTGTTGGAATGTAAAGGCTCTCACAGAACTCCAGCCTCACACAGGGTCACCCTGAGAGCAGGAGCAAAGGAGACAGCAAACACCCATCACTGCGCCCTCACCCACACCTCGCCCCCTCCCTTGGGTGAAAAGCGTGACTGCTCATTCGTTACCAGTTACACCTTAATGCTCACTCTGATCTCCCCCCTCCGTAGGTGAGTTACTGAGACCCCCACTGATAGGAGCGCCCCTCATTTTCCATGTCACCTAATCGAGAGTGGACCCATTTCCTTACTGAGTGAGTGAAAGTCTCTCAGTCATGTCCAACTCTTTGTGACCCCATGTACTATAGAGTCCATGGAATTCTCTAGGCCAGAATACTGCAGTGGCTAGCCTTTCCCTTCTCCAGGGGATCTTTCTGACCCAGGAATCAAACTGGGGTCTCCTGCATTGCAGGCAGATTCTTTTCCAACTGAGCTATAAAGGAAGCCCCCATTACCTTAGAGCCTCCCCCAAATCCCCTCACCTGAGCCCCCATCCGAGAATCGTTCTATCACCTTCACTCTGTGATGCCTGGGGTTGTCCCGCAGGAAGAGTAGCATCAGCTTGTTGACTAGGGAGTGTGCCTGGTGGTGGGGCTGGAGGCACTGAGTGTGTGGGTGGGAGAGAACTCGCGCGGGCAGGTCTACTTTGAAGCAGGTGCAAGAGGACAGCTGGCTGGTCCCGCGCCGCCCGCCCCGCCTGGAAGCTGCATGACCCGGGGGCCGGGGCAGCCGAGTGACATCATGAAACACAGGGACCAAGAGCCAAGGCAGAGAGAAGAGGAGGGCTTGGGCAGAAAGGGCTGGATCCTGGATGATGCCAAAACTTTGTAAACGCATCGGAACCCTCGACCTCATCCTTCTGTCCTTCCCTCCCATTCTTGGCCTGGTTCTGACCCTTGTCTGGGGCCTCAGCTGGGTGTAGATGCTGATAGTGCTTCCTCTGCTGGATTCCTGTCCAGGGCGTCCTCCTCTGTTAGTTCTGATTGGTCCTTTTCTGGAAATGCTGTTGGTGGGAGAGGGGAGGACCCCGGAGAAGACTGTCCCTGCCAAGGTGCATGGCCAGTCATGCATCCCTCCCCTCCTCATGGGCAGACAGATTCTCCCCAACCATCTCCCTCAGGTGCCTGCAGCCATGCTCCCTGGGAAGGAAAGGGGCATTAAGAAAGTCCCCAGCCCAGCACCCAGACCCTCCCGACTGCCCCAGCTCCTGTCTTCCTCACACTCTCTGTCTCCACAGGGCCTGCTGCAGGAGACTGACGCCTCACTTGGCACAGGCTGCCCCTCCCCATGAAACGTGTTTCCCCACTGGCCTCACTATGTGACGGGTTACTTATCCCTGGAGGCCCAGCTCCAAGCCTCCCTCTGCCACCTTCCTCCAGTTCCTCTCCAGCTCCTCTTGAAGGTCACACTTCCTTGGTCATGGTTCTCTTATTGCTCAGTTCCTCCAGGTCTGAGAACCCTACCCACATCATCAGGGGCCCTGTCTGTTCTCTGCTGCTCCTCCTGTCCAGGACCTCTGGGCACCCTCTACCCTCCTGGGCACAGCCTGGCCAAAATATGAGGGGTGGGACCCCTTATGGGGACACGAAACCAGCTTCTCAATGACACAGCACAACCCCAGTTCCCCTGTGAAAGTTAGAGAGGGAAGGAGGGTAGAAGGGGGACAAAGAGGAAGAGAATGGAGAAGAAACTAAAGATCCTAATCAGTGAGTCATTCAAAAGGATCCAATGTAAACCAGGCAGAAAAAACTGAAGGGACTGAAGGAAGCATTAAAAATAACATTGATTTGAGAAAACCTTTCTAAATACACACATTCCACAAGACATAAAGGAAATTCTGACCTACTGGACTCTTGGAAATTAAAATTGCCATGCATCCCATAAACCAGGTCAGAAAAAACATCCACACCCACAGGGAAAAATGGAAATCAGCTTTAAAAAACTTAGTAAGAGAACAGAACAACCCATTCCCCAGGAGGCAGCTTGCCCAGGGTCACACAGCTCTCTGTGGGCACAGAGGAGGCCAAGACCAAGCCTTTGGACATGGGTACGAGGGAGGGGTGGGATCATGGTTTTAATAACCCAAAGTTTATAGGGTTGTCTGTGCCGGTAAATAACATAGATCTAAGCTCATGCCCCTCCTGCTATACTGATGTCTGTAGAGTTTGGCTTTTTATCTTAATATTGCAATAGAGGGATTATATGTGGACCTTGTGCAGTGATCCCTTCTCACTTCTTCCAGCAGGGCCATCTTCCCCACACAGGACCTCCCATCACCCACATCCTGAGCAGAGCGCCCGGCAAACACAGGAAGCCAACACCCTTCGACTCCCCTCTTGGTGTCCTGTCCATCTCCAGGCTGCAGTCTCCCCCAGGGCCTGGCACTAGGCCTGGCACTCAGAGGCAGGGTTTTTCACAAACCCTGATTCCTTGTAACTGAAAAAACTCCCCTTTCCCCCAGCAGCCCCACCCTAGCTCCCGGGCAGCTTCAAGGAGGCCAGGCCATAGGAGGTGAGGCTCTGACTCCCCTGTCCTCCTCTACCCGCCCTGCTTCCTCCAGTTTCCCAAAGTACTGAGCACCCCCAACACCTACCTTCCCCCTGGGCTCACCGCTCACGTCTCAGGAGTCCACCCTAAGCTGAGCCCACCGGGACGGGAGCCGCCCTCCCTCTGCTCTGTTCAGGGGCCCTCGGCTGGGAGGAAGCCGTCAGACACACCTGCCCCCACATCCAGGCTCTGCCCCTGCTTCACCTGCTGCCGCGGCCATGGCCTCAGCTCTCTGAGCTTCCAGTTCCCTTCTGTCAACTAGTGACATCATGCTTTCTCAGACATTCATCCTGAGGATGGGGAGATGGCCAGGCCCCTCCCCACTGCTTACCCAGGCGTCTTCCTCTGGCTGAGTGTGAACAAGATCCAGATGTTCTCAGCTGTGCAGATGCAGCCGCCAGCTGTGCATCTCTGCAATGACCACACACACCCTCTGTGCCCAGATACACTCTGGGAAGCGAACTGAAAGCAAAGCCGTCCCTTCTGAGTGGTTCAAGTCAAACAAACACCCTGCCCACCAGGCCCCGCCCTGGGACTATTTCCACCTCCAGCTGACCCCCTTAGAGGAAGAAGCCCAGTCCTGACATTCCACAACCTTCTTGACACAGTCCACTCCGTCTCAGGCTCCATGAAGGAAGACCTGTCACCAACACACCGTGAGTCCCACGGCAAATCAGTGCCCGCCCATTTCCATCTTCTCACCCCTCCAACCCCACACTCACCAGCCTGCCTGCCTCATTCACCTTCGTGCCTCCAGCATGTGGTCCAGGCCTGGAACAGACGAGTTGCTCAGTGCATACTGGTCATACTCTGCTGCTGAGGACCACGTCCAGGTGGCTTCTAGGATTCGCTCACACTTCTAGGTTCTTCTGCCAGAGACACCTGCTGCATCCAACTGGGAGAAATCCTTTCTGCAAAGCCCAAATCTGGCATCACCTCCTCTGAGAAGCCCTCCGTGACCTCACCTGTCTCTCCTCCCAGGCTCCTCTGTCCCTGGGATTCTCCAGCGTTTGGTTTTAAAGCCAACTGTTATGTATCTGTTGTGTTTTGCAGGTAAGGGCGCTGAGAGGAGGGGACAGGTGGGCGGTTTGTTCCAGCAAAGCAGGGACGTGTGTTTGGTGGGAGAGTGTCAGCAGCTCACGTCCTGCAAACATTCATTTGACACCCTGTTCCCAGGGCTCAGGGCTCAGGCCAGGAGAGACGCCCCAGAGCCCAGACACACAGGAGTCAAGGGCACCCGGGCAGCCGCCGCGCCCCCTGACCTGCGCAAGTCCGCCCCTCCCCCACAGGGGCCGCCGGGACACCAGGGCGCCTCCGCCCCGGGCTCGGGGTGCTCTGGGGACAGCCGGCCCTGGGTGTCACCCCTACAGAAGGGACACAGGGAGGGACAGTGGGAGGCAGCGGTTTTTCCTGCAGGGAAGATCTGAGCACAGTCACCCCTCCCGCCTGCTCACTTTAATACTCCGGCAGAAACCCAGGAAGCAGGGGTGGGGTGGGGGTGGGGGTGGGGGGTGCCGCGCGGGGGAAGTCACGTGGCCTCCCCGGGGTACACCTGCCTGTGTGAGGGCGCCCAGGCCCCGCTTCCTCAGTGCCTCCACCACAGGCCAGCTGGGGGCCCTGAGCCGGTGGTGGGCGTCCCGGGACTCACTTCCCGGGCGGGTAGCCCCTGCATCAGGCCTGGAAGCCAATGATGGCGTCTGTGATCTTCAGGTCCCGCTCCTCATCCAGGTGGGCCAGCACGACTGCCCAAAGAAGACCTGCTCTGGCCCATGCGGTACAGGTTGCTCTCGAGCTCCAGGGCCTTGATCTAGAAGAGGAGAGCTGGCCGCTGACCACATGCCACCCCAGCCACCACGGGGTCCTGGAGAAGGGCCAAGGCCCTGGATCGGGCTTATGCTCTGCGGACGGACTTCTCCTGGTGCAGGGAAAGCCGGGTGGAGGGACGCCAGGAAGGGGGCGGGAGGTGGCCAGCACGGGCCAGGTAAGGAGTCAGACTTGCAGAGAAACACAGAACCCGGGCCCTGAAGGGATCTTACCTGCTGGCATCTCTTTCCCCGTGCATTTCTAACAAAGATAGCAGTGGACATGGGGACTCCGGTACATTACTCTAGGTAATTAGAGAAAGTGTATTTATTTAAAAAGGTAGTTTAAAGTAAGAGGGGCTTCGACATACTTAGGAACGTAAGGAGCGAAGCAGGGGAAGTCAAGAAAGTGGGGCCAGGTGCAGGATGGCACGCAAGGGCCACTAGTTGCTTGGGAGCACCGCTGTGACAGGATGAGTCTCTCATCAACAGCTGTCATTGACGAGGAGGCTGGGCCCAGACTGGGTGTAACCCAGCACCTGAGTGTAACCAATTGTTAGATACTCTGTGCAAACAACACAATTTGCCAAGAAGAACCAGCTTTCGTCTAAGCCAGGACTTCCACAGGCTCATGACACCCCTGTTCATTTAGGTCCAGGCCCTGGGATCCAGCCACTGGAGGCTGTGTGCCAGGTGGTGTGAAGTCAGCTCTGCCACTCGCTGCCCATTACTTTGGCAGTAACAAAGCCAACAATGCCTACAGGTGTGGCCCTCACCCAGGGGGCTGTGCCACACTCCCGACAATTCCCCAACCCTCACCTGCAGATATTCAGGGATGTCTGGAAAAGGCAGCCCCAGAGGCTTGGGAGGTAGGAGGGGGCTCAAGGGAGAGAAGCTCATATCAAAGATCTTGAAGCCAGTGATGTCCAGGATCCCTATGAATGAGATATCCTGCCTCTTGGTCTTGTCCAGAGCCTTCTTGATGCTCAGGACCAGCCAGTGGAACATGCGCTCAGAGGTGGCCTTGGCCAAGGCCTCGGTGGCAAAGTAAGCCTGCAGGGACACCTGGGGCGGGTGGCGGTGGCGGGGGGATGTGTCAAACACAGGGAGCCTTGAAGTGCTCATTCCCTTTACCCCAACAATGTCATCTGCAGGGCCCAGCCCCAGAAAAACAGCCTCAAAGATGAAGAGAAAACTTCATACACAAATATGTCCACTGCAGTGTTATTTAAAATGAAGGAAGTTGCAAGAGCCTAAATTCCAATAATATGGGCAGAGAAAACTTAGACATTGGCAAAGTGTTAATCATTCAGTTGTGTTCAAGTCTTCTTGAAGCCGTGGACTGTAGCTCTCCAGACTCCTCTGTCCATGACGTTCTCCAGGAAAGAATACTGGACTGGGTTGCCATTCCCTTCTCCAAGAAGTCTTCCCGACCAAGGGATATGAACTCGGGTCTCCCGCATTGCGGGCAGATTCTTTAGGGTCTGGTCACCAGGCAAAAACCTTTTTAAAATATAGGGATAAACTAAAGTATGTACGGAAGAAATGACAAGATTTTTGAGGTTTGCTTCTAAAAATATAGCTGTACTGTAGGGAGATGTCCAATAATCTTACTGGGGGAATTATTTTACTTTTCTAGGTTTTACCCCATTTCCTGAATCTGAACTGTTACTTGCAGTGGTTTCATATGAAACATACAGCTTCTTTAATTATCAGGTTAAAGAATGGTTGGTCATAACACGTCTGCTGTCTTTCAAAAACAATGTCCCTATCTTTGGAGGGAGGGTTCTGCCCAGAGTCAGCTATCATCAGCGGTATGAGGTCCATGACAGCACCTTTTGGAAAAGAACAAGTTAATATGAACTTCAAGGCATTTTTGAGAAATGGGAGCAGGATCTTAAAGATGCCCAGCACCAAGGCATGAGAGAAACATGAAATTGTCACCAGAGGCTCTGCCCGGAGGCACACAGGTCCTGGGTGGCGGGCACATGTGTGCAGCACACATCCCTGTGCGTCTCTCCCCACGTGGGACAGGACAGCAGGTGGGGACAGACAGCTGCAAGGTCTGGGCTCCCAGGGAGGTGGGTACACTGCCCCGGGCCCAGGATGAGCTGTGCTACAGAAACACCACATGCTTGCTTCACTTCCTCCAGGAACAGGACACCCTGCCTTCTCCCGACCAATCAGCTCAACATGGATCAGGGAGGAGGCTCAAGGCACCCAGAGGGCCCACCCAGGATGGCCCTTCCCAGGCAGGGGCCTCAGCCACTCTCCTGGCCCCTGGGCCCAGCTTCCTCCTATTCTCTACTGCAGTGATAGCACCTGTTTTCAGAGGGGTAGTGAGGATCTAATGAGGACCCAGGTGACGGTGCTGACACAGTGATTGCCCAGCCCAGGCTCTGCAGGCGTGAATTTCCCTGCAGCAAAGAGGAACAGGGAGTGGGATCCCAGTGAAGACTGGTCTCAGGGGAGCAATGTTCCTGGAGGCCAGGGTCTCTATTGCACCTCCTTGTTGCCTGCACATATATAATATACATGCAGAACACTGAGAAGGGAGTCCAACGGAGCATGAGAGGCACTGGCATCACCCTGGGGCCCTTCCTCCCTGACATCACTGCAAGATGCAGCAGGTGGCAATGATTCGTCTCCAGCTGGGGAAGTGGGCAGGGCACTTACTGTCCTGTGTGGGGTGATTGGACCCAGAACAGTATGAGGAGAGTCATTTCTGTTGGTCTGAGAAGAGGGCACGTGTGCATCCAAGAAGCACTAAATCTGGAGCCTCTCTACCTGAGACTTTCCCCCAGGGTCTGGGTCCCTGTTACTCATTCATCTTCCTCATCCTTCAGCCTGAACTATTAGTCCAAGGAGACAGTCCCCAGACCCAAGTTATTCTCTCTCCTGGGACCTTGACACTGAGATTCCAGGTGTTTGGACCTAAGCCCCCTGGTCACGGGACCTCAGGGGCCAGACTGTGGGATCCTGGAGGGGGACCTGTCCTGCTTCCTGTCCTCCCTGAACTGTGCACGTTGGGGACTTCTTTCTGTTTTCTGACCTGGGCTTCTTCCCTCCCAGTGCACGCTCTTCTGCACTCACTCAGCCAGACTCAGTCTCTGTTGCTCAGAACGACAGGGCTCTTACCTGACACGCGTCACCGTGGAGTTGCATCAGCCGCACAGTGAGTTCAATGGGGTCCAGCTCTAAGGGTTCAGGGGGTGATGGGCATGGACACTGAGTGGTTCTGTACCCAGTGCCTGAAATCATGCCCAGAGAAGTCTGTGCAGGATGGGAATTCTCCAGGTACTGAGGAAGAACTGATGAAGGAATGAACTCACATTTCTGAAGGTCGGGCAGGAGATGGCCATGACGGCTGACATCTTCAGGAAGGAATGAGAGGACCGGTCGGAGCCTCAGGAAAACATGGGCTGAGAGGGAGTCAGAGGCACTGAGGACAGTCTTCAGAGGGAGGTTTGGACAGAAGTGTGGAGAAGGCTCTGCAGCACGTGGGGAGGGACTTAGGAGACGTCCTAGGATCATTTCCAGGTCCTGGGTCTCTGGCTTCCTGTCCTGGGCTCCAGGTGTGGGAGCCTGTGTGGTGCTCACATGCTCCACACGTGGAAAGCCAGAGAGTCAGTGCCCCGTGGAGCAGGCCCGTGGGCTTGAGAGCAACACCCAGATGCTCCCCTCTCCTCCCTCCCTGGAGAGGAGGAGCCTGAGGCATCCCATGAAGTCTCCTCAGAAGGTCCAGGCAGGTGCAAGCCCAGATGGGTGACCAGATCAGAACATAGCCTTGGATGGACACTCCCTCCTTCCTGCCCACTTCCCCTAGCCCCTAAGTACTGCTCCTGGGGATGGAGTGAGCCTGGCATCCAGCTCACCCTCGGGGGAAACAACGGCTCCAGCAGGCTAGGCTGCAGGGAGGCTTTGAGCATCTGTGCTCAGAGTCATGGGCCACTGTGGAGGAGGGGAAGCAGGCAGGGCTAATTCAATATTCTTAAGAGTCATTCTAGCCCTAGTGGGGCTATAGACAGTCTATTCCAAGTGGTGAATAGACAGGTGAGGCAGGACAGTGCCCCAAGGTAAACACAAATAGGCTGTTCTGGAAGGTCCTGCAGGAGTCCTGCAGAAACTTAAAGGCAGCCTGGGTGAGGTGTGTGCTGTCTCTCTCTGCCCCTCTGTTTATGACTGACCCCCGTCACACCTGCACACAAGCTATCTTCCTCAGTCACCCTTGGGTGCCCTGTGTCCATCCTGGTCCCCAGGGCTGGAGGAGGAGCATCCCCATGCTCAGCCCAAGTCAGACAACACGGGCTCCCCTGGGCTTCCCATGGGGCCTGCAGGAATCCAGGTTCTGAGAGAAATGACTGAATGGGAGCCCAGCAGGCAGGCAGGAGGAGCCATGGAGGACGCGCTCCCTGAGACCCTGGGAGAGAGTCTCGCGGGGAAGGAGGTCAGGCATCCAGAGCCCAACTGAGCTCATCAATCAATGCAAGGAAGCCTCAGTGAATCAGCTCATATTTATTGAACTAAAGTCTGTAGAACACAATGTGGAGAGAGGCAGACGGTCGTAGAATACCTTGTTCAGCTACATCCCCAACTGAGGAAGACATTGAGGGTCAGAGAGGCCTTATCTGCTGGCCCCAGGCTGGTTGATCTCCTTGACATACTGCATAATTCCTTGATCTGTTGGTGCCTTCTGCTTTCATCTTTCTTTTTTTCCCCAAATCAATCTCTGTTCCTGCACAACACTGGGAATTTCATGGGAACTTAATGGGTCTCTCAATGCACCCTGAACTCAAAGGGCACCTGGATGGATACTTGTCAGATGTTCCACCCACTGTGTTGTCATCACTGCTGCTGCCACCACCATCATCACCACCATTGTCTTCAAGAAGTCACTGCCTGAAGTGTGATGTAGACCATTCTTCAGAGAAGATATACAGATGGCTAGCCAGCATATGTAAAGAGGCTGAACACTGCTAATTATTCAGTTCAGTTCACTCTTCGCGACTCCATGGACCAGAGCACACTAGGCCTCCCTGTCCATCACCAACTCCTGGAGTCTACTCAAAGTCATCTCCATTGAGTCAGTGATGCCATCCAACCATCTCATCCTATGTGTTCGGTAATCAAAACCACAATAAGGGATCACCGCCTACCAATCAGATGGGCCATCAAGTAAAAGTCTACAGACAATCAATATTGGAGATGATGTGGAGAAAAGGCAAGCCTCCTACACTGTTGCTGGGAATGTAAATTGGTGTGGCTGTTATGGAAAACAGTAAAGAAGTTCCTTAAAAACTAAAAATAGAGCTATCATGTGATCCAGCGACCCCACTTCATGGCATATGTTTAGAAAAGAAAAAGTTCCCATCTGAAAAGATACATGCACCCCATGTTCATAGCAGTACTATTTACAATAGCCAAAACTTGGAAGTAACCTAAATGTCTGTCACCAGATTAAGGGATAAAGATGATGTGGTACATACAAGCAACGAAATATTACTCAGCCATAAAAAGCATGAAATAATGCCCTTTGTAGTAACATGAATGGATCTAGAGGTGACCATGCTAAGTGAAGTAAGTCAGGGAGAAAAGACAAGTATATAATATCACTTACATGGAGAATCTAAGAAATAGTCTAGGTGGTTCCCTGGTGGTTAGAATTTGGTGGTTTTGCTGCTATGGCCACATTTATCCCATGTCGGGAATCTGAGATCCCACAAACTGCTTGGCATGGCCAAAAAAAGAGAGTACAAATGAACTTATGAACAAACCAAAACAGACTCATAGTCATGGAAATCATAACTTGTTGTTACTAAAGAGAGAGAGGGGTAAACTAGAAGTATGGGATTAACAGATGCACACTACCATACATAAAACAGATTAAAAAAACATGGACTTTACGTATAGCACAGGGAATAATATTCAGTATCTTATAATAATCTGTAATGAAAAAATTTAAAAGAATAGAGATATATACATTGATTATGTATAACTGAATCACTTCGATGTATACCTGAACTAACAGAATATTGTAAATCAACTCTACTTCAATTAAAGAAACAAGCAGACAAAAAAAGTCACAGCCTAATTGAGATAAACTGCTGGAATTAAAGCTGAGTTGTTGGAGCAGTATAGCTGGAGACCACGGCCAGGAGGAGACTCTTCTTGCTGGGGCGTCAAACCCTGGGAAGGGCAATAGAGCAGCCCCTGCTACTTCTCCTGGATCCCAACAATCCTACCTCCCTATCTCCCACTTTCAACCCTTTTGTATTTCTGGTCTCGTGTTGCTAGTTCCCCTGCCTCTCCTTTTATTCTGCCCCCAGTGACTTCTTTAGTTCAAAGTAAGTGGTGTCTGATGGGAAGGTTGTTGGGGGAGAATGGATACATGTGTGTGTATGGCTGAGTCGCTTCATGTCCACCTGAAACTATCACACCACTGTTAATCCCCTGTTCTTCAATACAAAACAAAAAGTTCACAGTATGAAAAAAATAAGAGGTTTCTCCCTCGGCCCCCGCCCATTCTCTATTCCCCCCTTCCTCCCTAATCCAGGCTCCTCCTCTCTCCCCATCTATCACCTACATTCACCCCTCCCCTCCCGAGCTCAGCTGCAGAAATGCCAATTTCCTAACCCTCAGCTCCAACAATTTTGTCTCACTCTCCTTTTTCCCCTAACAAGATGCCTCTGCACCTTGACCCGGAATGTGTCCCTGGACCCTCAGTGCTCTGGGGGCGGTGGAGTTGGCTCCTCTTGCAGATGCTTATAGATCTGGGTGAGCTCCTCCAGCTTCTGCTCCAGCTCCCCGGCCCGCTGCCGCAGGTTTTCAGCTGATGCCGTCTTTGCACCGTCATGCAGGTGCATTGACTCCTTCACCAGGAAGCCCACATCCACCAGGAGGAAGACGCCTGCAGTGGCCGCACCCACGATCCGGGCTCCTTTGGTAACTGCCGAAGCCGTGCCTTTGAAAGCTGCCTCTACCTGCTGGATGGCTGGGGCTGAGATTCTCCCAGAGCTCACGAGGATGTTTGCATTGGCTGCAGAGTCAGGGTTGGCGTCGCCTGTCTCCATGGCATGGATATTTCTTTCAAGGTGTTTCTCGGCTTTTGCCAATCTCTCTGTTGTGACAACAACGTGGGGGTTGCTCTTGAGTACCTCTAGGAGCACCTTCCATTTCTTGACAGCAATTGACATCAATTGACTGGCTTTGTTTTCTGCTGATGACCTACTTACACGTTCCACGATGCTGGTGGACACAGCGGTCACAGCACTCGCTGCTCCCAGCCCTATCCCAGTGACTGAGAGTGCCATACTGGCCCCGGCTGTCACGGGTGCCAGAGCCAGGCCAAGGATGGTCAAGGCGCCAGACAAAGCGCCGGTGCTGTGGGTCACCACATTGGAGATGGTACAGTCCCTGTGGACTTTGTCTACATTGTCTGCAAGCTCCCGGAGCTTGCTTATGAGCTCCACCAGCTGCTGCGTCACCCGAGGAAACTTCTTCAGAAACCTCCTCCTGTCCAGCTGCTCTTTTGGGAGCATTTCCTGGTCCTTCCCAGCCAAGTCTCTTTTCAATTCATTCAGATATTTGTGTAGTGCATTCATGTCTTCCCTGTAACAGTGAAGGTCAAGGGCTTAGAAAGTCTGTTTGCTTGTCTGTAAAATAGGTTCAAAAATGTCCATTCTGCATAAATATGAAGGTAGTACTATAAATCGATTAGAAGAGAAATTTACAAAAGTAAAATTTCCTCTATAAAACCTGTAAAATAGGTTTTATACCTTGTAGAGGCTCCATATACTTCTTCAATCCTCTAACAGATAAACAAAAGTCACCTTAGGACACTCGTAACTTAAGAGAGATATTTGATGGAATTCCCTGGTGGTGCAGAGGTTATGACTGCAGTCTCACTGCCTCGGGCATGACTCAGTCCCTGGTCAGGGAACAAGGATCCCACAAGCCATGTCGCTCAGCCAAAAAAAAAAAGGTATTTGTAAACACCTTTCAGAGGCCGGCAACACCAGCACTAGAACGAGTTGGTGAGCGGGAACTCCACAGAGAAACGAAGAGAAGTGGGGTTAGAGCAGAAGCCTGCGTTCAAGGGCCTCGGAGTGTGGTGAGGGGTCCGCCTGATCTTGGCCCTTGGCTACAGGGAAGGGTCCCTAAGCCCCTAGACTACTCTGGCTGATGCGAGTGTCCTCGTCTGCCTGGGCCTTTTGGCCACTGTTCAGTCTGACAAGGAGACGTTGACGGGGCCTCTGGAGGAGCTGGACTCTAGGACATTCGTCTGACCTCTGGGAGGGGCTGGAGACCACAAGTCAGGATAATTTTTCTTTAAACGGGTGCCTGTCCCTGGCAGGCAGTGTTCCCTGTGCCCTGCCACTCACCGAGCTCCAGAACAGTAATGCATCCTGGGGACAATCGAAGCTTCGGGGGTGAAATCCGCCCAGACTCTGCCCTGGGGCTGATGGAAACCCACAGGCTCCCTGTGATACACTGGGATCATGATGGCTCTCAGTGAGTCCTGTCTGTTCTATAGGGAATTCTCAAACCTGAGGGGGGTTTTGAGGATCCCCTAAATTTGCCGTTGGTTCACATGAAAGCATAGTCCTGGGCACTGTGCCCTCACATTTTGCACAATGGCTGTCCCTATGACTTAGAATTTGTAAAAAAAAAAAGCCCAAAGTCAAAACTAGAAGGCCTTAACAGTCCTTTAGTCTGCCATCAGTTGTCTTCTATGGCTTGTGTCCTTGACCTTCCCAGCAGAAGGTCCCTGAGTCCATCCACTGCCCCAGCTGCCTGGAGATCAGGAGATGTGTTGCTGGTTCCTCTTGGACTCTCCAGCCCACCTCATTGACTCCTGACCCAGCACTCAGCACCACTGACCTCTCAGGTGTCACATGTTAATCTGTGACAGCTTCATGACCCTGCACCC